ATGCCCTCTATTGACACACCAGCGCGCATAGCAGGCCTATCTATCCTCATATTAAACGTTTGTCGAATCCCTTCGTAAAGCCAGTATTGTGTCTGCAACTCGTGCAGGAATACCGCTCTCCTGGAGGCGATTCCTGACAGTGGCCAAGCCATCTACTGAATCCTGGGATTCGGGTGGAGTGCCCTGTTCTGGGATAGGAGGTCTGGTCGTAAAGGTAATAGAACAGGAGGCTGAGCCAGAAACCTGAGTATTACGGGAAACCAACTCTGCGCCGACCAAAGAGGTGCCAGTAGCACAAGAAGCCGCGCAGGCTGAGTGGCTAGCTGAGAAAGGACCCTGGGAATCAGAGGAACTGGTGGGAAGGCCCACAGAACTCTGTCCGTCCAATCTAGCTGGAAGGCGTCCGGTGCCTCCGACCTCTGGTCGGGGACTCGGGAGCAGAACACTGGTGTCTGGTGGTTCACCCCAGACGCAAACAGATCCACCTGGAACGACCCGTATAATCGGGAGATAATCCCATATATCCCCAGGTCAAGCCTCCACTCGTGAGGAGCGAGGATCCGGCAAGACAGAGCGTCCGCGCGGACGTTGGGAACATAGGAGGAACTGCCACGTCTCTTGGAGAAGCGACGGAGACACCGTTCCCCCTGCTTCCGGATGTAAGTCATCGCCGTCTGGTTGTCCATTTCTAGACGAACCAACTGGCCACGAAGCAGATCCAAGAATCGTTGGAACACCAACCTGACCGCTCTCAGTTCCAGCACATTGATGTGCAGCGCGATCTCCTGCTGGGACCACAGTCCCGAGGCAGTGTTATCGTTCAGAACGCCTCCCCAGCCAGAGAGTGACGCGTCTTTCTGAACTGTGAGAGATTGAACGGGAGTGTCGAGGGGGAGCCCCCGAGACAGATTCCCATCCTCGGTCCACCACATAAGGTGTGCAATGAGCCACTCCTGGGTCTCGAGATCACTGAGCGCAGTGTCTCCATCCTGAAGGACGGTACCTCTATGAGTTTGTTCAGTTTTCTAAGATTGAGAATAGGTCTGAACCCTCCGTCTTTTTTGGTGACGAGGAAATAAGTCGAGTAGTAGCCCTCGCTTTCCTGTCCCAATGGAACCGGCTCGATAGCAGCTTTGTTTAGCAGTGCTACAATCTCGGCATGAAGTATGTCCGCCTTCTCTCGGGTAGCGGGCACCGGAGTCCCGGAGAAGGGTGGCGGAAGAAGTTTCCACTGAGGTAAGTGGCCCTGAGTGTGGACATGACTAAGGGATTGGAGGACACCTTCTCCCATTCCGACAGGAAGAGAGAGAGTCGGCCACCCACGGGAACTTCAGGCAACAGTCGGCAGCCCTAGGACTGTCAACTGTGGGGCCACCTGGGGCTGGGCAGGAGCTATTGGGAACCCCGCAAAATGGCTGCCTTGCCCCGGCCCTTGCCCTTTTTGCCCCTCCCAACGCCCTTGCCTGAAGGAAGCGGCTGCTTCCAAGCAGGCTTGGACTTCCGATCTGGCGCTTCAGCATTGGAGGAGGCAAGGGGGGAGGCCCGCTTGTGCAGCTTGGTGCTAGGCACCTCCAACAAGGCACCTCGAAGTCACAGTCCTCTGCCAACTGGTACCGACTAGTAAGTTTGGGGAGAACAAACCTTTTACGGCCTCCCGACAGCAGAGGACCGATGACCTCGTGTACCAGCGAGGACAGAATGCGGAACCGCACCTGGGGCACTTTGCACGGAGCAAAAGCGTCCCCCCGGAGGGCGGAACTCAGACGGATCTGAGACGAACATATGGGCAGCCACCTGAGGCAGTACTTGGACAATCTTATCCCTGACATGCCTCCGCGAGAATGCGGAGGAAAAACTACCCGCAGCCTCCTAGTCATCCCCTCCCTCCTCCATCCACTCCTCATCCCTCGACTCCGAGCCGAAGGTAGTCTCCGACTCCTCGGTGAGAGAGGAAGTAGATGGAACAGGAAGGGATGCGGATGGGAACGGTGGGGGGGGGGGATATGTATCGGTGCGAATTGTGAAAATTGCAGTACATGCTTAATTACAACACAACATATGCAAAGGCGTAACGAAAATGCGACACGCAATATCGATAGCAAAGGCCGTGTATACATTTGTAACATATAAAGGGAGCATAGTAAACCTTCCCCTGAGCGGAAAAAAACACACAGTAACTTGCGCCCGCAGGGCAATTTATTAAAGTTACAGCCGGGTTGAAAAGGAAACAATGTAGTGAAATAATGTTAAGATAAAAAAGCCATGTCGGTTGTACACGAACATGGAATTTACCAGAACAGAATAAGCTACACAGTGGCCGCCATTACGTGAAACAAACGTGGCACGTGCACGTGGCGGCCGAGTTACAACATATAAAAACCATAAAATGCGAGGAATTACGCCTTTGCAAGAAAGAAAAGGAAAAATACCACACATACAGTTTGAGCCATGTCTTCGGTATTCCACGATAAGTAGGATGAAGTTAAATTCTCAGGAGTCTTAGAAGTACGTCTGTGCAGTCAGATGACATAAGGAAAAGTGATTTGGGTGAGAGTCTCTCCCTTTGGCGTGTGTCGCCTGTAGAGGATGAGGCCCCATTTGGGGTGGTCATATATCATACAAAAACGCTGATTTTCTTGAGCAAGGAAATCCAATAAGTGCCCCAAGGAGGATTTAATCTGAAAGAGAATAGAGGACTGCAGACAAATGCATGATCCACGAAGAGACGCAAAAGCGCTGTATGAAGAGCCCGGAGAGGAAACAGGGAAGCACAATAATCGATCATCCGACGAAGTACTAAACTGGAGTCAAAGTTGGTCCACAATCCAATGAAGGATAGGTGAAGGGTCAGCAGGTTCAAAACTCTCAGGTGATGCAGGGGATGGTTGATTATCCATATCTTCATTAGCTGGCACACGATTCAGATGTCAGGAACAATTGTACCAGGAGGAGCGTGTGTGGGAGTCCAGCAATCCAAAGCAGGAGCCGCCTGTAGCCTGTAAGGATGCTGGAAGGCAGTGCTCACTTCATGAATAAACGATTCAAGGTTCGGTAATGGATAACTATGGTCCCATGAGGATGGGAGCGGCTGCACAGGTGGAGGGAGCATCACGGGAACGTCTACAAGTGGGAGAGGATCGACAAGGCTCTTTATGTCAAGTTGATCGAAAGGTAGATCCTGAGGAGAAAGGTAATATCCACTGTGGGATCGTAAGTCAGGATATGACGAAGCCAAGTGTGTGGTGCAGCTCTCCCATCCAAGTGTTTGGTACACAAAAGCGCCTTATCAAGAGGAATTCCGTGCTGATGATGATCTGCATAATGCGAGGCCAGGTAGCAACCACAGTAGCATTCGACAATGATCAGGATGAACACGAGTAAAAATTTGGAAGATGTCAAACTCCTGAGTGCCGATTCTGAAAATGTTGATCTTAGGAGTGCCGATCCCGAGAGCCATAACGCTGAACCGAAGAATGTCGATCCCTGGGTGAGCAGTCCCTCGTGCGTCGATTGTCTATCCTTGGAACATCAATGCTTGGGCGAGGAGTGGGACCAATCTTTACTTCTTTAAATTCTAGTAGAAGATGAACCCTGACAATCAGCAGCAGAATCTTTGTTCGCCACGGTCAACGGAGGAGCACGATTGTCTTTAGGTGAACAGGAGCGGATGTCACTACCTGGTGGGTCAACCAAAATCCTTATGAATTGAACAATTATTGTCAAGCGACGTCAAGCCAAAATTCAGCTTCCGTGGTTGCACAAATTCAGAAAAGATTCATTTTGAATTAATTTTAGAGCATTACAGTTAATTTTGGGCAAACATGGCTGAAATGTGGCCATGAATAGTTTTTTCAATATGGCTGTTGTGATCTAAAAAATGGCACTTCTCTAAAATAATGTTATCTGCATAGATAAGTCTGCAATGCCATTTTTTTGAAAATTTTAAATTAATCACAAAAATATTTGGTATGCAAACAACTTTAAAAAAAAAAAAATTAAAAAGACAGATTTTTCAATGCTTGTAATATAATTCTTCTTTTTTTTCATGAGATCCCTCAGAAATCTAATTAGGAGATAAACATACTTTTGAATGTAGAGCTAGGTTACCTGTAGAGTTAAAGGTGCTAAATTGAATTTGGAACCAAATGTGCAGTGCGACGATTCAAATGTTAAATTTAACGCGGTTTAATCTACAAGTAAACTAGCTCTACATTGAAAAACCCAGTATGTTTATCTCCATTCTACCATGACTGGTGTTGGCAAATACATTGAGTGAAGAGGCATAGTTAAGTGCAGTGCTTTGAGTGGGTTGTTGATCAGAATTTATTGAATCACCGACAACAGTCTTTAAATAAAACATGATGCTCGGTATGCTCACACAGTTTGTTCACACCATAATACTAATAATAAGTAAGCTGGCTTGTATAAAACCTAACGAGGGACGCATAAAACCACATGTACCCCTCATGGTACTGCTACAACTTACTAGTACAATGTATATTATCTAGCTGCTACGATTGAGAAAATGTATTCTCTTGTTTTTGATAATATTCCTGGGTTGATCAACTTGATGTGGAAGAAAGACCTGAAGTGTTGCAGATCTAAGGCTTTACTACTTTGATGAAGCCCACAAGCAGGGGTATGGTGCTGACAAATGTAGGAACGTAATCATTGGTTTCAGGCACATCTAAGAGATGCAGCTCTGCACTGTGAATTGTGCTTTATATGTCTGGGTCACTGTTAGTGCCCCCTCATCAATTTGAAAAGTTGCTGGAGACAGAAATCAAATGAAATAGAAAATGCAAAGATGTTGTGTTTATTTCCTTCTGTCAATCATGTAGAAAAACAACACTGACGGATATATGAAATAATTTCTAAACAAAGATCAAATATTTGTTTGTATTTCAAGAACAGCAACCCATATTGCCATTGTTACTTTAATTGAATCATGAGTTGAGTTGAAAATGGACCTCTGGAGATAAAAAATGCACAAAACAGTATCTGCATGCATAGTTTAATTCACTTACTACAGGTAAGTCTCCAACATCTGTCATAAGTGCATGGTTGAGAAAACCAAAAGCGGCTGAGCACAAATACCAGCATACACTCTACAGGGAGCTCAAAAAAGAAAGAAATACAGACATATGACAATATAGAGTGAATTTTATCAATATTTATTGATATATAGACGTTCCAATTTTATTATAATATACTTATTTAATATAACATATATGCAAAAAAACAATATGAACAAAGAATAAATTTGGAATTAAAGTCTGTTTTAAAAGATATAAGATGTTTTGCCAGGCCAAATATACATCCTTGAACTTGTGTCCTATTTAAACATATTTGTACAAATATTGTTTCTTTCTTAAAAGAGAAGAATTGTGCACACTCAGAATACCATTGCTATTTTCGCTTGAACAAAAGAGTGCCACGGTACTGTTGCTCACCTGAATATGTAGTACAGTATAAAATGTTGTTAAGACAGACACTAACAAAAGTTGCTGTCAGTATTGATATTCCAACTTCAACTTCAGGTGGCATTATTGGGGGGAACAAGCACATGAAGTTTTCAAGCATGTAAGAGCATGGTGAAAGTGCAAATGCCAAATCATGTAAAAATATAAAATATTGCATAAACTGGAACAAATATGTTTGCTAAACTACTAAATGCACATTTCATGACATTCTGAACAAGAATGAGAAATGGCCATAAATGGACTTTTCAAACATCAAGCAACACCGCACTCAGCAATATCACAGCTATATAACGGTGGTCTGTAAATAATGGAGTCTGGACCAGCCAATCCAGTGATTGACATCATGAGCATCGATCCACACAATAGGGATCAATGACATGCATCAACCAAGTCAGCGAGCATGACCACCTGATTCCGTTAGTCACCTCTTACGACAAGCAGTCGCTTTTTACAGCGATGGGGGGGTTGCTGAAGACCTATTCTACCCCGGATCTTCTCGGGTCAGAGAAGATTCTGAGCCGATTGGGTTGAACTATGGACATAAATAGCTTTTTCAATATGGCTTCCATACTGAACATCAGATTTGAACTTCTTGAACAAGTTCAGGTGTCATCATTGGCAAGAATAAGCATGCTAAGTTTCAGCTTCATTGATGAAGTTGTTTCTGAGGAATGATGAAATAATGTATGACAAATAAATGATGGTTTTGTTTTTGTTTGTATTTTACAATATTGATGCTGGCAGCCACATTGATTCCAAATCAAGATGCCTTGAGCAGCCCCCATTAAGTTTTTGACTAAATTTAAAATATTGTCTTGTTTGAAACCAAAGATGCTACCCAATGGCCTTCCTGAAATTCTAGTTTTGATACCTTGTACAAACTTTAACCCCTTTTTTTACAAAAAGAGCAGCTCATCCATGTAGCTATTTTAGGGAAGGAGCAGAAAATATTAAAAAAAACAAACTGTGATGTTAACTGACGACATGTGATGACAATATCTCACATTGCCTTTCAAGGACTGGTGAGCCATAAAATACTCAATTGCAAAAGCTTACTGAATGAGTCTCCAAAAATCGTCCAGGATTAGTTCCATAGATTGAGCACATCTCCACAAGACACCCCTCCCTTCCACTGCCATACCCTTTTTATGCCATAGCAGTGTAATCAATCACAGAGGCGACTTGTTGCTAATGTTTGGAATTAATTGGGAGTGAGGTAAATGTCAACATTCTGAGTTCTCTCTTGTAGTCACTCTGGATAACTGTGAGTAATGGTCATAGCAATGCAGAGCTTCAGATAAATTTTTAAGCAATTGAGATTTTACTCAAAGGTTTCTATTTTAATTTGGTTACTACAGTTTTCATTGGGTAGCCAATAAATTTTATTCATCTGTTCATCATTATTGGGTTTTTTTCCCCAAAATGAATCAACATTTCAACATTTCAAAAAAATTAAATTATGTTTTTGTTTAAGAAAAAAATCTCTTTCAACTGTATTTCAGTATATCAAGTAGGCCAGTACCCTGTATAGTGCAGGATAAAATTTCTGTATTTATGTTGTGGTATTTGGATTGCATTGAAACTTGCAGAAAAGTAATTGCCAAAAATGCACTATGTTTGAAAATGTTCTGCTCAGTAACTCGGACCAAGACAACTGCATTATTTTATTTAGGAGGTGATTCATCGGATTCATTTACTCAAAATAAAGTAACAAAACAAGTAATTTCATTGTGTCTAGTAATATTTGACTTTTGAATGTTACTGGTTCCATAATTTTTTAAGCCCACACAATGTTTCGCATTAATGAAACGACATTGAAATTAACCAAACTGCAGCTCACCCTTATTTTAAAGAATTGGAAACTTTCTTTTCCATTCTGCGTTTGTTCGTGTACTAACGCAGGTGTGTCTTTTTTTCTTTCCGTGCACTTTGTCAATAACTTTTCTCAAAATAGTATTTATCAAGCAGTCAGAGATTGGACACAAGGAGTGAGTATGGTTTTTACGCCGATTTTAGCAATATTCCAGCAATATCACGGCAGGGTATACCAGAAATGGGCTTCACACGTTGTACCCATGTCAGGATTCGAAACAGGGTCTTTGGCTTGACGAGCAAACACTTTAACCACTAGGCTACCCGACCGCCCCTTGGACACATGGAAATAACTTCATCCAAAATATAGTCCACATATTGATGGGCCTCGCGTTCGCTACATTTATATATCAAAGCAAACGCAAATTGACCTAATTTAGCCTATCCTAACTGACACTGTGATTACCCTTAAGATGTACTTTTACAGGTAAAATGATGATAAACTTAGAAAATATTCGTGTGTTGTTATGCATGTATGAAACAGCCAAAAACCCGAGGTAATTACCCAACACCTTTCTCGAGGTGATGGCCTCACACAGGCCCGTGCATTCTCACAGGTGCAAATGTCACCAGAGTTGGGGGTGGTCTCACAATATTGCTGTTATTGTACTTAATTGAAATGTGCCTTGATGGGGTAGCAATTTTGGATATGTACTGCATTATATTTGTTTGAGAAAAATGATGGAATACTCAAAAACTATGAAACGGGATGAGTATTGGAAAGTTGCGTTTTTTGTATCAAGAAGTATTTGTTGTTCCACAGATGATTTCTTGTTGTAGCATCTATCTACACTGATGACGTGTATGAATCTGTACTGTCACCCAAAGGTATGATAACTGGTTCAACAATGCTGATATCTAGCAAAGACTGCGTTGATCCTATCTTTGACATGTGTGAGTTTGAATGTTGTGTTATATCTTGCCATGAAGCCTTCACAGTTAGCTCAATTGGTTTGCACAATAGGGTTGAGATCACAATGTCTGACTTACGTACGTAAGACAACGTGACCTTGTTGTGCGGCCAGCAAATATGTCTTGTACTTTACTGGTTTTCTTATTCAGCTGAATTTTCTCCATGAGTTGAAGTTTTGTTTCAGATGGTCTGAAGTCAATTATGTCATATATTCCTGTATGGTCGCCTTCAGACTGCTGATGGTTGGCGCGACACTATGTGATTCCCGGACGTTATATTAACTGGTGTTATCAATGACAATTACTCTGAGTATGTTTAAAATGGGCTCTCTGAACACATCACTATTCATTCCTTATGATAATCACCAGTTGTTGTTTTTGCCTTGAAAACTAGCCATCAAAAAGCCACAGATCAGGGGTTCCAGCATACAAAACAATGAAATGATTACCTTTAATGATGGTACCATGTGTGCTTTTTGTCCATCTGATGGTAGCCACATGAAGTCACATGTTGTTGTCAAGGTAAATGATCTGGAAGCCCTGACTGCGACAGTTATGAATGGTGCGGAGAGAATGTGATCTCATAGACAGGATGAAATAATTTTCCCTGAAAATTGCTTGGTCATCGCCACGCACAGTGTATCGAAATCCCATCTCGTGGAGAGCAATTGTTAGTGCAGTCCGGGAAACATTAATCATGTCTTTTTTCCTCCCAAATTTTCCTACAAGTCAGGGGTACCTTCTGCTCATTCAAGCTTGTACACTACACGCCTAATCACCCTGTATCAAAGCTGTCTAATATCCTTTTATGTCTCGGTTTTCTTTTTCAGACTACCCCTATACCGTTTTTGTTTTACTTATCATACCGTAAACTTGATGGCATGAATTTAAAACCCAACAGCTTGGGCAATTCGGTAAATCACCCTATCTTAACTAATAAATGGTTTTCACCTATCTCTCTGAAGAGTAAAGAACTTGTATACATTTCCTAGTACAAACTCTATGTCGTGTACCATGGCTATGGCTATGAAAGTGTAATGTAACATGCATCATGGGAACAGTTTGTTATTTTAGAAGCTGTACATCTAGAACTTTCTCGATATGATTTTTTTGTGTGGATAAGATGTTTTATGAAGACTACATTACTATCATTATAACAGAGTCATGAGCGCATATTTCTATAGTCCATTTTAGATTGCCATCATTGGACTTAGAATAAATGTGAACTTACTGTTAACTTGTCGATAGGACTCCTTGTGACTGAAATACTTCAAACCAGAGGTCGATTAATCGGTAGTTACTCGATACTTCAATAGCAACAGTCTGTGAAAAATTCTATCCTTTTTTAACGGACAAAAAGCATTTTTCTAGCATTCCCGTCAGTACTTTAGCTTGTAATTGTGTTTCGTAAATTAGCTCCGTTGCACGCATGCTGAAAAAGCTTCACTGTTTATATTATGCATGCTCTTTTAGAGTTTTTCATTTAATGCATGCGTTTCTGTACGTAATGGGATAAAATAACTGTCTTTATTAAGAAGATCAGTCTACTGTAATGACAATGCTTGAATTATATACAACACATTTCAGCTTTATTTATACAGTGGTACGTCAACAATGGAGTTCCACTAGATTCTCAAGAGGTCAGTGAAGATATTTATAAGTTTGTGAGTTATTCTCATGTTTATGAGATATGGTTGATACATAAAGCTGAGCCAAATGCAGTCTCCGCCCAGAAAACTTCAGTCTACCAGTCTGAACGTGAACTACATGGACTTTCAGACCTTGGCTTTTGACTAGTGGCTTAAGTCACAGACTGTAATTGTTATGCCTATAGTTGGATCGCACATGGTGAACTGAATCAGTATTGACTCTAAAGCTGCTGTGTAACATCTTCAACCATCAATTTCATGCTTGCAGAGTCACTGCCCTCATCCTCATCGTCATCATCGTCATCATCATCGTCTTCTGCATTTTCCACTTGATGACTATTTTGGATAGAATCGTGTTCTTCATTGTACTCAATGTCTGGTTCCTCCTCTGTTGTCACTGAAAAACAATCAGAACATAAAATGTTTGCATGTAGCATACCCTTTCATATTTATATGCTATGAAGGACAACAGTAGATACTTACAATGGCAGAACATTGAAAAGTCACTGGAATGAAGCAAATGGATACCATAGAATCAACTTTGAACCCAACAACTCAAAACAAGACAAACACAAAATTATCTCACAAAACTGGCCTAGGATGAACCTTCCCCCACCTCAATTGAGGAGGAAAGGTCTGGCCAGGGGTGGGGTAGAACTGGCCTAGGATGAGCCTTCCCCCACCTCAATTCAGAAGGAAAGGTCTGGCCAGGGGTGAGGAAGAACTGGCCTAGGATGAGCCTTCCCCCACCTCAGTTGAGGAGGAAAGGTCTGGCCAGGGGTGGGGTAGAACTGGCCTAGGATGAGCCTTCCCCCACCTCAATTCAGAAGGAAAGGTCTGGCCAGGGGTGGGGTAGAACTGGCCTAGGATGAGCCTTCCCCCACCTCAATTCAGAAGGAAAGGTCTGGCCAGGGGTGGGGTAGAACTGGCCTAGGATGAGCCTTCCCCCACCTCAATTCAGGGGGTAAGGTCTGGCCAGGGGTGAGGAAGAACTGGCCTAGGATGAGCCTTCCCCCACCTCAGTTGAGGAGGAAAGGTCTGGCCAGGGGTGGGGTAGAACTGGCCTAGGATGAGCCTTCCCCCACCTCAATTGAGGAGGAAAGGTCTAGCCAGGGGTGAGGAAGAACTTGCGTGGGGAATGTTTCAGTCTTTTGCACCAGCACTGATTTCTTTTATCGTAAAACTTTGCATTTCGTCCAAAAAAACTATCAGAGTGATTTATTTACATATATACATCATTTGTATCTTATTCCCTTTCATGCTTATTCATACAATATATTTTCTGCAAAGTAAAGTTCAAATGAACCTTGCCTTTATCTAGATTGCCTAGCCAGCTGACACGGTGCAAAATATCAATATATGGCAGGCAGTAGAAAGCCGGAAGTAAGCATAAATGGGATCTTAAAAACTTAGCTGGTACACCTTTAGTAGCACAGTTATTAGAAAAACATGACTTTTGAAGCTCTTACAATGAATAAATATATGAGACCGAATAGCCCAAAGGTGGAGACAGGGGATGGACGGAGGGTATCACTGCAGCTGGTATAAACAATGACAGAAATGGGTAAACGATATCGAAGCTGTTGGGGCTAATATAAGAAAACATTGTGACGTCATGTTCGTAGTTCTGGGCATGAGCAGAGGATAAAATGGTGCATTGTGGGATAGCTTAAATGTAACATGATACACAGTATTTTTAACCTGAGGGGAGTTGGAAGTGAGCTGGGAATTACTATGGAGAATAAGTGCTATGCATACGTAAGTGGATATTGGGCAAATATACTCAACAACAAAAGTTCCTGTGACACCAATATATTAGTGTATTTTTCAAACAAGTAAAGTTTGATTTTCAATATTGTAGTACATGTATGGAATCATGTCACAAAAACGCAACTGCTACAGAAAAGCATGCATTCCATGCAAATGTTGACTTTTATGCAAGCCCCATGCATTTCACTACCCAAGAATGGGTATAAAAACATGTGCGTTAACGGGATTCCATAGGCATTGTTTAGCATCGTGCTGACAACAACCACTCAGAAAAACAACAAAATTACACAATTATTCAACATTACGAAATACCACGCCTGTCCGAAAATGAGCGTGTGAGAGTCATTGGTATGCTTGAAGCAGGATCGAGTCAACGTGATGTTGCAAGACAATTTAACGTCCACAGAAACACCATTTGGTGTTTGTGGCAACGTTGGCAACAGACGAATGCAGTCATAGACCATCCTCGGAGTGGCAGGCATCGCGTAACCAATAATCAACAAGACAACTGGATTCGAACAACACACCTACAAAATCAATTCCAGCCAGCAACAATGACTGCAAGAAGCATCCCTGGCCTTCGACGAATATCTTCACAAACCGTACATCGTCGCCTCAGATGTGCAGGGATTGTCGGCAGAAGCCCCGCCAGACGTCCCATTTTGACAGGAAACCACCGTCAAGCACGCCTACAGTGGTGCAGACAGCGTCTGCGCTGGACGGCCATGCAGTGGCGACATGTTCTATTCACTGACGAGTCTCGTTTTCACCTCAGTCACAGCGATGAACGGATTCGAGTGTACCGACGTCGAGGTGAACATTACGTCAATCATTGTGTCATGGAAGAAGATCGGTTCAGGGGTGGCAGCGTTATGGTATGGGGTGGGATGACAGCAAGACAGAGGACCTGGTTGATAGTGGTAGAGGGAAATCTCAATGGACAGCGCTACCGTGACGATATAGAATTTACATTTTGTAAACATTTGCAATATATTATTAGGGGCTACTCAGTTGCTACATAAAAAGACATACCCTGCAGGTATGAATGAAAAACCCTGCGAGTATGAATGAAGAGGTAAGGGTCATGCCGACCTGATTAAATGAATGCTAGTTACCCTGCGGGTAATGAACAAGTCCTGAGACCGTGCTGGCCCTGCACTGTAAATTTGGAAGAAAGGTACTTTGGGGGCCACAAGCCATTCCTATGCAGTATGCAGGACATGGAATGATTTGTGAAGCCCAAATGAACCCCTAAAGGATGGAATTCGAGAAGATCATGATCTACACATGGAATCTACACTAAATGGGTCTAAACACACCAGGGTAAGTCTAGCACAGTCCAAGGTGTGATGAAGGGTCTCAACGAACACAGTCCTGTAAGTCTGTACGAGGGATATGGGCCTAAGCCCACACATGATCATCACAGCGTTATAATCATAATGTCCAGCATTGAGTAGACTACAGTCAAAGTATAAACACAAGATAGTCACCATGGTACACAAACATAAAGGCGTGACACATAGTCCTTATAATTAGTGGAATGCTGACTCCTATACTTTAAGGGACAGTAGGCTATCAACAGATTGCATAAAGTAACACAGTAACACAAGAGTCCGTAGTAATGACAAGTCTACATTCTACACAAAGATCTCTGGGCTTGGCTCAGAGTGGCTTCCGGAGTCCGTATATATCGAGTAAAACAATCTGAACTCCAACGGCCCATCGTCTTAATGGGGTGGTCTTCGATGCATGCACTGGCAGCCGTAGTAGGTGCACCAATTCTGAAAGAATGTCCAGAGTACTCTTTGGAATCAAGACCTGTCCTAGCTAAGTCTATGCTCAGCCAGTACAAGAAAGAAGCTCTGCTGATGGGTGCAAGGTTGCATTTAACAAACAATGGATCTGAAGGCTTGGTTCGGCACTGTGTGTTAATGTGATGAAGTCTCTTCAAGCAAGTATATGGACAAATACCAGTACTGTAGCCAAACAGGGAAATGGGTACTCCTTTCTGGAAGGGATCGGTCTTAGAAGCTTTCAGCATTAGGACACATTTTCTCTTATAATGATCAAATTCAATGTCGCCCATAATAATATGAACTCGTTGATGGAACTTAGTAGAGCAGGTGAATTCTTCACATCGAAGAAAGCCAAGGAAGGCTGTCACACACACGCATTCCAACACAAAGCCATCAAGAGGTCAGAAAATACCTGAAACTAGTTGGTACACAATCTTACTTAATAAAGATAGGAAGGTGTTTCCTGGAAGAAGTTGCCTGCAGTTTCTTGTATACCCTCATCAAGGCTTGTAGTCTGTTTAAGGCTCCGGAACTGGCCTCGTCGAACAGTGAGTGAGTGAGTCAGTGAGTATGGTTTTACGCAGCTTTTAGCAATATTCCAGCAATACCACGGCGGGGGACACCAGAAATGGGCTTCACACATTGTACCCATGTCAGGAATCGAACCCGGGTCTTCGGCGTGACAAGCGAACGCTTTAACCACTAGGCTACCCGACCGTCCCCCTCGTTGAACAGAGTTGTCACTCCAGCTTACAGGTAAGTCAAGCTGTAAGATCACTGAGATGGCATGATCTACTGTCACATATCGATAAGGAGTCATGTTCATTATCCTAAGTCCATTAATACTAGAAATGTCTACATTGTCATGAGGGGCTGATTAGTCCAATATCAGGCGCTTCTTTTTCGAATACTTGCCCTCGGCAAGACCAAGAGGGCTGACCCTTTAGATGGGGTAAGGTGATACATCAAAGGTCTGATACATAACTGATCAACTTCCTTCTGAACAGCCTCGGACACAGATAAAGGTTCCTTCCTAGCACTGAGATTATTTCGGCACTCAACAGTCTCCTGCGGGATATATCCAATCATGGGATTGAAACTGTGCTTTAAACCTTGCGTCAGGTAGGTTGCAAATGACTGGTCAGGATGTAGTTGCAGTTCATGTTTAAGAGCTTCAACATTGACAGCCGTAAGGTCTAATTGATAGAAATGATGCATACCATGCTGCCCATTCCCAATACTTCTTCTTGTTCTCAGGCTTGCAGTTCTTGTGGCCATGTTTGTCGGAATTACAAGCCAAACACATGTGGAGGAAGGGGCATGGATTGCGTGAACACCCCAAGTCATTGAAGTTATTGCACAGTTCTTTCACATATTTCTGAACTCATGGTCTGCCCCTGGAGTCCCTGCTTCCCTGTCGTATATGATAGTCCGTTCCTGCTTTATGGGTGGTTTCCGATAGGAATTCTCGACAATGTTGGGACAGAGATCCGTTCCATGAGTGATACTGTGACACATGGCACATGCTCGAGAGCGCAGTCCTAAAGAACACAAACTGTACAGGCGTTGGTCACATATCCCATCTAATGTGTACTCCTTTCTCAGCATACAATGCCACTCTCGATGTGAATAGTTTATGATAGTCATAATGTGTATACCACCATAAATAGTAGACAATTCAAAGACAGTTTGCACATGGCCATCAAGTTGTTTCCTCTTAGCATCGTTATGCTCACTGTGCCGTTACAAGTAACAGTGATTTTTTATTTAGTGGTTCTCAAATATGCGCTTCGCTTAGGACCGGAAGTGCTAGTTTTAGAACGTTCATCGG